CTGTTGACCATTACAATCACTTAATATTATCACTTTAAATGTATATGGTAATGATTTATTTAAACGCCAATGTGTTGGTAATTCAGTACAAAGTATATTTGGTGCACCTGTTCTTATTAATGGTGATATAGTCGATGTTATTGATGATGATGTCGATGATGATGATGATGATAAACTGCCATTAACACTGCTTAAACCAAAAAAATTATTTGTTGAATATTTTAGATATTGATCCAGAATTTCATCGTTCCAGATATCCATTTTTTGTCTGTTTTTTTTTTTGGTTTTCTGGTTGCTTTTATTATTGTTATGGATTTTATCCGAATCAAACATCAAAAATCAATTGATGATCAAAACAAACACTGAACACACACACAGGTAACACAATCTTTTAATTAAAGAATTTTTCACCAAAAATTTTTCCACCAAAGTTACACGATCAAAATCATCGAAAACATTGACCATCGACAAACCAAACCAACCATCAACCAACGATCAACCATCATATACCGGGGTAGATAGCAAAAATGAATTTTAAAATGGGAAACACCACCACCACCAACACCATAATATGCAAAAGAACATTTATTACATGCATGAATTGTTGTTGTTGTTGTTGATGAATGATAATGGTCGTGGTCTCTTTTTTGTTTCTCACTTTACCATTTGTTTTTTTTGTTTTCTCTTGTTGTTGTTTTGGTTGTTTACTTCTGTTTTTTTTCTTCTTCTTCTTCATTGTTTCGGTGTTTGTTTGTTTGTTTGAATTTTATTATTATCATCTGATTCCGTTTCTCTCTCTCTCTCTCTCTCTCTCTCTCTCTCTCTCTCTCTCTGGCCGATTGATGACCATCGAATTCACACACACGGACAGTCGGCTTATGTTTCATTATCATCATCATCATTTTTGATGTTGTCTGTCGGCTAAGATAAGAAAGAATGAAAAATTTTTTATTTCAATTTTCACAAAGTCATAAAAATTCATTGAAATGTAATCCTGATTATGTTGATGATGATGATGATGATGGTTACCCATAACAATCGAAGGGAAAACAAATGAAAATGATCAAAATTTTCAACCAAATGACAAAATGTTTTTCGTGTATTCTCTGTCCCAATCGAAATTGATTTTTTATTGATTGATTTTGGTTGGATGAAATTTTTTTTTGGTCAAAAGGTTTTTTCTTTGAATATTCTTTTTTTTCCATTTATTTATGGAAAACTTTTTCCTTTTTTGTCTGTTTCGGCATTTTTGTTCTTTTTTTATGATTCTTCTTCTTTTAATATGACTCAATTTAGTTTGTCGCTTGGTCGGTTGGTAGCCCGGTCAAAAGATTACATGATTTGTTTTGGTTGATTTTTTTTACCATTTTTTTATGACTTTTTGTAAGTTTTTTTAATAAAAAAAATGATTTAATGACAAAAGTGACGACATATTTTTTTTCGTCTTGTTCAAAAGATAACCAAAATGATTTGAAAAATTGATAAAATCCGAATGAAAAAATGGAATGAAAAATTATGCGAAATGTTTGTTCGCTTAAATTTAGCTTCAAAGCAAAAACGGTCGCATGTCAATGCGTACAGTTGCTTCTCTGTGATTTCCATTGTTGCTGGTGTTGGCATCATTATAATTCTTTTCTTGTTGTTTTCATCGGTAGACACGAATCATACATATTTTTCTTTCTGTAAATTTTTTTACGACTTTTTTTTTGTTTCGAAATTGCATTTTTTAGTTTTATCGGCCTTCATTTTTTTCCATCAAATTGTTGATTTTATTATTATTATCATCGTCGTCGACAATGTATAAATCATAAAAATAGACGGAAAAAAAAACTTTTCGCCCATCATCGGACATCATTATTATCATCCAAGTTCACCCAAATCATGATAATCATCAAAACGACAAAGAATAATGTTACAAACGGCGGTAACTTTGAAATTTGAAATAGCAAAAAAAAAATCCATTTTATTATCAACATCATTATTTTTCTTTTCTTTTTCTTTCTTTTTATTTCGAATGAAATTTTGTTTTTCAAGTTTTTTTCGTTTTTGGCGGATATTGGATGGTTTTAAATAATGTTTACATTGGAAATACATAGATGGCAGTAGTTTTTGGGTTTCTACATGGAAAAAGTATTTTTTTTTTGGTTTTGTTTTGTTTTCGTTAACCAATTTCAACAACCAACCAACATGATGTCTGAACAGAAATATAAACAATTGAAAATTATCTTTCTTTCATCCGAAGGTGCTGGCCATATTAATGCATGTGTCGGTTTGGCTCAAGAATTAGCCAAATGTGGCCATGAAATTTATTTTTTCAATAAACCATCCAATATTGGTCAATTTGAAAAATTTGGCTTCAAAGAAATTATCTTGCATGAAAATGCTGTCGTTGATGATACTGNAAAAACCAGCAAATCAAATTTTGTGTGATCATTCGCTTCAATGATAATGATTATTCTCTCTCTCTCTCTCTCTCTCTCTCTCTCTCTCTCTCTCTTGGTCTCTTTTAATTATGATGATTTGTGTGGTAACCCCAGTAAACAAAAAATCAAAAATCAAATTGGTGGAGAATAATTTGTTTTCGTTAAATTTGTCAAAATATTTGTTTAAATGGGGGAGAAGAATATGAATGAAAAATTGGTAATTCACACACACCCAAACAAGAAGAAACCGAAAAACATGCAATCTATCACCATACAACAAACAAACAGATTTTTTTCTTTTCTTGTTTTTTGTCACACTATTAACCCTTTGTTTTCTATGCATATCTCTATTCAGAGGATATTTTTGTCAAAACGAAAATCAATTATGTAAATAAAAATGATAATTTATCAGAAAAACAAAACGACGAAATTTGATTGAAAAATTTTCAAATTTTTACAACCCAAAATGCGACAAAAAAAGTGTAAAAATAAAATTCAACTAACTTAATTGATTGATTGATTGATTGCTACTATGTAGCTAATTTTACCTGCAGGATTTTCTTTTTCGTTTCTCTCTCTGATTATCCAGGTAATTTTTTGTTTTCTGGTTCTGGAACACACGAATCAACCAACCAACCAACCAACCAAGTAAACACCAATATAAATTATTATTTTATGCAAATAAAAAAACGTAAATATTTTTTTCTGGATAATCTGTTTCTATATTTCTGGTTGGATATAAATTATCTCCGAAAAAACAAAACGAAACGAACGAGAAAAAACAACAATTAGAATTATATAAATTGAATTAGACGTTATAATGTTGGGTTGTCAAATAAATAATTTGTCGTTTCTCTCTTGGGTTGTTGTGGTAAATAATATTGGTTGAATGGATGGATGGATGGATGGTGTATATGGATTACCTTTACTGCTACAAAACTTTACTCATGAATGATTTTTCATTGATGATGACAAATTGTCGTTTAATTTCAAAAAAAAAAAAAATCTTTCCATAACTGATCAGATCTTAATTCGGAAAACAAAATATGATAATGTTGTTGATGATGATGATGTATTTGCGAAAACAAAAAAAACGACAGATATTATTATTTAAAAAACAAGGTGTTCTAGTTTTATTTTTAGTTTAATTTTCTGATTATGATAATTGTTTAATAGTTACGCTAGCAAAATTAATAAATTATAAAGCAGAGGACAAGAGAGAGAGAGAGAGAGAGAGAGAGAGAGAGAGAGAGAGAGAGAGAACAATTCCTGTTAATTGAATTTTTGCTTTTTTTTTGAATTTGACAAAAATCAATCAATCGATATTTAATCGATAATTTTATTTACCTTTTCTAATTGATGATATCGATGATTTCATTGATGATGATGAAGATAATGGTGATTGAATTTGATCATCATCATCATTACCATTATTTGATTTTGTTATCGTCGTTGTTGTTGATGATGGCGATGATGATTTTTTCAAAATTATCTTGTTTGAATTTAAATGTTGAGGTAAACCACTACTATCATGGCCACAACTACCATCATCATCATCAATATCATTACAGTTATCACCTGGTATTCTATTTCGTTTATCAAATGATTTGGAAATTATTCCATTATCATTATTATCATCAATGAAAGGCCTTAATAATGATTTTTGTTGTTGTTGTTGTTGTGGATATGGCCACGATATTTGACCATGATTATGAGGATTACGATAATGTCGATAATGATGATGACCACCACCACCACCACCACCACCATGACCACTGTTGTCTTTATTTTTTACATTTCTGCTAATGTTACCTATAGAGAAAAAATGGAAGAAAAATTTGGAAAATTAGATAAAAAATTCAAGAATGGAAATTTTCTTTTCATTTTTTTGAAATTCACGATTTTTTGTAACTTTTAACTTTTGATTTTTTCAGTGGTGGTGGTGATTAATTATCAATTTTTTTTCTGGTTTTTTGGTTGTTGTTTCAAGTAGATAATTACGGTGGTCAAACGTTTTTTAATTTTTAATTTTTTTTGTTTTTTATTTTATTTTTTTTTTTTGATAAATTTTTCAAAAAACAAAAGCGAATCTCGTGTACGGCACGTATACCTAGCGGCTGTGTATCTCACCTGTGTGTGTGTATGAAGAATTACTGCAAATATCCAACAAAATAAAGGACCTGAGGGTGTTTACCTGAACTAAAACTGAAACTAAAAAAAAAAACAGCAATAATTATCGGATGTGGGCTGCGGACTAAATATAAATCATATTAAATGGTGGTCAATATTGAACCTTTGAACAGAAAAAACAATAGTCAAACTGTAAATAATAAAAATTAGAAAAATTGATTGACCTTAACCAAAAAAACAGAAAACAAAAATCACTCAAGGTGTGGCATCATCATCATCATCATCGAAATTTGAAACAAAATTCTTTCAAAGAAAATTTTGGCTCAATCAGAAATTGTGATTGGATCGAACCAGAACCAGAAAAAAGCAAAAATCATTAATTACTTGTTGTTGTTGTTATACAAATTAACATTAATAGTTACTTAGGCCCCTTTTTTGTTGCTGTTATTGTTGTTGTTTTTGGTTAGTAATAATATAATCTAATAATAACCTATAATTAAAAAATCAGCTAACAAAAAAACTTGCTAATAGGAATTCAGGTTGTTTATTTTGGTTAATTTTTTTTTTCATTTGAAAAAAATTTGCTGAATTTTGAAAAAACGAAGCGAAAATATGCAAAGTAACCATGATTTTTTTGTTTTGGGCCAGATAAAATTTATGGATGTTTCGGAAACTTTTCAGGAAAAAAATGTTTTCAGGAAAAAAAATTGATTACCTTGATTATGGAATTGATGATTAGTTGTTGTTGTTGTCATTGTCGATATTTTTGAACGTGGTTCACGTGGACCATCAACAGTTACTTTAATTGCTTTATGATATAATGCAACTAACATTGGTTTTGTTTGTACCAAAATCGTAAGTGAAAAATGTTTACCACGACCCGATCGGGCAACAAACCGTAAATCATGAAATTTTGCTACACCATTTTTGGTGACAGCCATTCCATTACGTATTTCACCAAAACAATTTTCTTCATTACCTGCTTTTACCTGTACGATTGTACCATCTTTAATCTGTAAACCGTTACAATCACTCAATATTATCACTTTAAATGTATATGGTAATGATTTATTCAGTCGCCAATGTGTTGGTAATTCAGTACAAAGTATATTTGGTGCACCTGTTCTTATTAATGGTGATATAGTCGATGTTGATGTTGTCGATGATGAAGATGATGATAAACTTCCATTAACACTGTTTAAACCAAAATAATTATTTGTTGAATGTTTTAAATATTGATCCAGAAATTCATCGTTCCAGATATCCATTTTTGGTTTTCTGGTTTATCGTGGATTTTCGTCGGGATCAAAAATCAAATGACAAACACGGAATACACTGGTAACACGCACACAGGTAACACTCAGGTAACACAATCTTTGGATTTTTTGCAATCAAAGAATTTTCACGAATTTCATTACGTCGAAGTTACACGATCAAAAAATCACCAACCAAACATTTGACCATCATCATCATGATCATCGACAATCCAACGATCAAATCAGCAACTAACCATCATATACCGGGGTAGATAGCGTGAATGAAAAAAAAATTGGGAAACACCACCACCACCAACATATGCAAAAGAAACATTTATTACATGCATGAATTGTTGTTGTTGTTTTCGTTGTTTTCGATGATGATGGTCGTGGTCTCTTTTTTGTTTCACTTTATTTTACCATGTAGTTTTTTTTCTCTTGTAATAATTCCTCCTTGTTGTGATATTTTTCCATGTTCAGTTCAATGTTGTTTTTGGTTGTTTACTTCTGTTTTTCATTGTTTGTTTGTTTGAAATTTTTCTTTCAAATTTTATTATTATCATCTGATTCCGTTTTTTCTAATCATTTCGTCTCTCTTTCTCTCACTCTGTCCATATCTTCATTCGCCGATTGATAATGTTGATGCCGATCAACACACACGGACTTGTGTTTCATTATCATCATCCAAAAATGATAATAATAAAAATAATGGTTGTCTGTCGGCTTAGATAAGAAGAACGAAAATTTTTTTTTATTTCAATTTTCACAAAGTCATAAAAATTTTGAAATTTGAATTTTTGGAATCATCAAGGATTATTATGATGATGGTTAACAATTCGGGAAAAAATGGAAATTTGTTGACTTTGACGAAATGACAAAATGTTTTTTTTTGCAGAAAATTCTGAAATTTGATTCTGTTTCAATTTTTGGTCATTTTCATTATTTAGAATATTCCCTTTTTTCGGCATTTTTTCAAAGAAAATTGGCCATGTTTTATGATTCAACTAAATTTAGTTTGGTCGGTCGGTTGGTTGGTCAAAGATTACATGATTATTGTTTGTTTGTTTGTTTGTTTTTTCACCCAAAAGTTTTTTTATGACTTTTGAAGTTCAAAAAAAATGATTTAATGACAAAAGTGACGACATTTTACTTGTTGTTGTTGTTCTAAGTGAAAAAAAATGATTCGAAAAATTGATAAAAATCCAAATGAAAATTGAACAACAGCAATGTTTTCGCTTAAAATAAAATTATTAGCTTAAATTTAGCTTCAAAGCCAAAAACGGTGGCATTAGTGCGTAACAATCACTACAATTGGCATCATTATTTTATAAAAATTCTTCTTGTTTGTTAGATAAACAAACACAATGCAAATGCCAAAAAAAATTTTACGACTTTTTTTTAACACAGACGTTGCAGTTGCTTTTTTCGGATTTTTCAATTTTTTATCGGCCTTCAATTTCATCATCAAATTCAATGTTGTTGTTGTTTTATTATCGCTGCCGTTGTCGACCATATAAATCATAAAAATAAAGAGAAATTTTCGCCCATTTTGGACATCATCATCATTATTATCATTCGGATGATCAGAGTCACCCGAAAATGTTGATGATAATCATCAAAATGACAAAAAAAAACCGACAAGGAATAATGTGTTTCAAGGCGGCAACGGCGTCGGTACATTTAACTTTGAAAAAAAAATCTTCATATTATTATCATCGGGTTTTTTTTGCTGTTTTTGTTTTTGGTGGATATAGCTGGTTGGCTTTTTGGTTTGAACGAGGAAAAAAATTCAAATAATGTTTACATTATAAACACCTAGATGGCAGTAGTTTTTAAGGAAGAATTTTCACACATGATTTTTATTGTTTACACGAAAAGTTTTTTTTTGAAAAAGTTCAGTAAATGATTTTGTTGATTTTGATTAATTTTTTTTGTCATTTTCATAGAAAAATCAATTACGATGACTGACCAGCAACAACAACAACAACAACAATCATCACCAACTAAATTAACCACCGAAATAATGGAATCAAGATCAGATTTTACGATAAACACTGACAATTGGCCCGAATATAAACGTAATGTACTTGGACTACTTTACCTAGATGATTTTGATGGTGAAATTGATGAAATAAATGAATCAAATCAATTGATTGAATTACCATTACAATTGGGTAATATTGATCCAAATAAACAACCACAATATCAATGTATTAAATGTGGTAAAATACAAACAAATGAATTACAAACAAACGATATTCATCGTATGAAATGTTTACGTTGTTATAATAAAGCTTTCAATAAAATCCGATCAACTAAATGGATTAAATTTCATGCTTATTAAAATAAAAAAATTTTTTGTTTACTTTTTTTTTGGTCCTGTCATTTATGAACGGGCATGTTTGAACGTGCACGTGTTTTTCTTCGAAAAAAAATTCTGAAAATTTCAACAAGTTTTTGTTGATTTTGTTTTTGATTTTGAAAAAAAAATGGAAACAAATGAAAATCCGGTGGAATCCAGGACATCAATGCCGCTGCCGCTGTTGATATTGTACACCCAGAATGGATCGATTCCATTTTTAAGCTGGAATTTCATTCACCAATTCAACAATGAAATATTGTTTCATTCGAAAAATGATGATGAAGAAATTAATTTTGTTAAATTAAATGTTGGTGATTTTTTCGATTATCTTGATGAATCTGGCGGCGATCATCGATTATCATCAATGAAATATTTTAAAAATTGTTCATTCATTTTGTCATTATTTGATCCATTAAGAAATTCAAAAGATTTTTATAAAAGTAATGATCAAAAAATTGCAATTGAAACTTATCAGGGTAAAAAAATGCTTTCAGTTGATGATATGCTTAAACTAAGTCGTACGATTGGTGTTGATCATGTTCAATCTTTAGCAGATATTATAACACCACCGATTGCCGGACGTAAATGGACAAATAAATCGGTTGATAGATCGAATAAATTTCTTGATGAAATTATTTCACAACAACAACAAAAAGAAGATTCCGGTAATAAAATAAAACTTTGGGCAACCGTAACCGGTGGTTTTCAACATGAAAGTCGTTATCGTTCTTGTCAGAAAATTTCTCAATATTCCGATTGTTTGCAGGCAATAATTATTGATGGTTTTTTCGGTTATAAAACCGATGGCCAAGATAATGATGATGATTTGGAAGAAAACCTTGATAATTTTCAACAAATATTAACCGGGGATATTATTCCAAATTTACCAGAACAAATACCAAAAGTATTATTTGGTTGTTTTTATCCGGATACAATCATACGGTTAATCCGTTCAGGAATACAAATATTTGATAGTTCAATATGTACATTGTTGACCAATAGAGGTCGTGCACTGCCATCACCATTGATTTCGAATGTTGAACCAAAATTATTATTCGAACGGTCAACCGAAATGATCAACGACGACGATCCAAATCCATCGATAATTCTTGATTTGAATAATATTTCCTTTAAAAATAGTGACCGATTAATAAGTAACAAATGTAAATGTTATACATGTAACAAAGGTTTTACACGTTCTTATATTAATCATCTATTGAAACGTAATGAAATTAATTCAAGGATTTTATTACAAATTCATAATCATTATGTTTTAACGGAATTTTTCAGCCGAATTCGTTTGATAATTATTGATGGATACTTTGATCAATTACTAGTCAATAGTAATGTTTTGGATGATAAATTTAGTCAACCACAACCACCACCATCATCAACGACGACAACAATGACATCATTACCGAACGGCAAATAAATTCAATTATCATCAACAACAACAAAAAAATGACCGAAAAACGACTGACCAAATGATCATCATGTTGTTTGATTTGATATAGGTCGATGGGTAAAATTTACTTCGCTTGACAACCACAATTAATCATAATGATGATCATGATGATGGAAATCTTGAATTTAAAATGAATAAAAAAAATGGATTTTTTTGTTGTTTCTTGTTCTTTATACTTGACATGAACAATATATGATGTTATCAAATGATAATGATAATGGAAAATAAAATTTGTTTCTAAATTTGCTTGTTTTCGCTGTTTTTCTGTTTTCGTTGTTTTTATTATCGTTATTGAAAAGGAACACATTATTTTCATTTTCAATAACGATAATCTTGAAATAATGATAATCATCATCATTATGGATTCGATTTTTTTTTTTAAATAGATAAATAAATAAATAATAGTAATTTGTAATTTGTAACAACAATAATAACGATAACAACGAAGAATGATTAATAGTTTTTTTTCTTTGTAATTCTGTTTTACTGTTTTATTCTGTTCTCTCTCTCTCTCTCTCTCTCTCTCTCTCTCTCTCTCTCTCTCCAGTTTCATTGTTGATTTCCATTCAAATGATTTTAGCGTTTTTGTGTTTATGGATGGATATTATTATTAATAGATCCATGAATCATTCGCCGATTCTGCTTTTTTATTCTGTCTGTTTGTTTGCTTCATCGTCTTTAAGTTTGACTTTATTCATTCAACTTTATTCAACAATTTCGTTTGTCAAATTCGAANATTCTGTTTTATTCTGTTTTATTCTGTTCTCTCTCTCTCTCTCTCTCTCTCTCTCTCTCTCTCTCTCTCTCCAGTTTCATTGTTGATTTCCATTCAAATGATTTTTGCGTTTATTTGTGTTTATGGATGGATATTATTATTAATAGATCCATGAATCATTCGCCGATTCTGCTTTTTTATTCTGTCTGTTTGTTTGTTTGTTTGTTTGCTTCATCGTCTTTAAGTTTGACTTTTATTCAACAAATTTCGTTTGTCAAACAATGTGAATTCAATTCTGTAACGAATGTGAATGTGAATGAAACAAGCAGCGAAAAATAAAAAAATTTCACATTTTTCAATTCAAAAAAAAAATCGATCAAAAAAAGCGCTTTAAAATCATTATTTACAGATGGATTTATTAACATCATTGATGATGATTGGCAAAAGTCAAACAAAAACAAAAATCAAAAATCAAATATAAAATTATCTCACAACAGCAATAATGGCTGATTTGATTTACGTTCGTTCGGTTGTTTAAATCTTTCGGATTTTTGCTTTTTCTGCATTCTTTTTTCGTCGTCGTCGCTGTCATCATTATAAAGTTAAATTTTCGCGAAAAACCAAAACACGTGGTGTGTATACATACATACAGATGAAGATGCCAATCACAATCACAATCGATCGATCGATCGATCGATCGGATGTGCTTTTCTGTAAATTGAATAAAATCTTTTTTGCCAAACGGTTTTATTCAATTTTGCTCGTTTTGCTTTTGTTTTTCGTTCGTTTTTTCCCTTGACTTTTGTTTTCCCATTCTGTGTAATGACATAAACAACACTGAATGTGTTGATGGCTCGAGAGTTCGAGAGNGTTGTTGTTGTTTTTTGTTGTTTGTTTGTTGTTATCGTCATTATCATCATCATTTTGCCATCATTTAAATTAATGATAATTAATTCGTTTTCGTTTCGTTTTTTACGCTGAAAAAATTCTTTCTGTTGAAAAATCTGCTAAAAATAAATTGAAAAAAAAGCAAATAGAGAAAATTAGTCAGTAACAACCAAAATGCTGATGGTAATCACTTTTTTGTTTTCTTGTTGTGGATTTTTCTTTTTTTGCTTAAATCAATGTTGTTGATGATGGTTATAACATTGGATAATTGAAAAAATTACAACAAAAAAAAAATTCAGGCAAAAAAAGTGTGAATTAGGAAAAAGTAAAAGAAACATTACGGAAAAAATAATAATTTCGGGAATTTTATTTTCCGGAAAATTTCTCAATCAATTTTCCTGTTTGACTATAGCTGATTCCACAGTATTTCACAATCCATCCTGTGATGATGACCTGAATTCCCTGCGTTTGATTCTATTTTGCATCATTTTTTTCAAATTTTAAATGGTCAAAATTTTAATTTTTTTAATTTTTTTTCAATTTTGGTTTAGGAAAAAAACCAAAAAAGCAAATTTCCTTTTCGAAAAAAATTATATCCAAGGTTTTCTGGCTGAATATTTGGTTTCCTGTCGTTTTCAAAATTTCTCTCGCGTTTTTCAATTTCCTAAATGTGAATTTAAAAAGATTTTTATAGAAAAAAATCAAATAGCCAAATCACCTTTTACCATTCGATAATTTGAATCGATTTTTTTTCTTTCTTCACTGAAATTGATTGAAAAAATGAATCATTCGAAAAAACAGTTGAAAAAAAAACGATACATTCCTTTTTTTTCTTTCTTTCTTTCTTTTGAAAGATAAAATCTAAGAAAAAATTAAACATGCATTTAGGTTCCATTACACACAATTGAATTATGCAATCCTCACACAAAAAAAAAATGCAAAAACGACAAAATACCATGAACTTTATCCTATCTCTTGATATATACCGCTATGTATCAAGCTCTCTTTTTACTCTCTCTCTCTCCTTTTTTTTCTTCATTTTGGAAATTTTTTCTTGAAAATTTTGTAACTTTATTTGACTGGATTTTCATCATCATCATTTTGTCAAAAGAAAAATCACTTTTTTTTCTCTTTCGTCTCTCACTTAAACTAACTTGTTGATCAAGTTACCACACTAAAAATCATTATCATTTTTTATCTTTTTTTTTTGTAGTTTTATTGCAAAAAGACAACAAAAATTAAGTAAATCCATCCAACTGTTTGTGTGTGAGAGAGTTATGAATTATGCAAAAATTTCGAATCGATTATGTTCAGAGAAACAACAGAAAAAAATGGATTTTTTTTTGTTGAATTTTTTATTAACAAAAAAACGAACGAACAGAAAGAAAAAAAGGGATTCAAGGTGAAATCGAAACATGAAATTGAAAAAAATGGTGGAACAAACATTAAAACATTACTTCATCATCATCTTCTAATCGTCAAACGTTTGTTTGTTTGTTTGTTTTCAATTCCTTTTCAACAACCGTTTCTTGATTTTTTTTTGAACAAAATGCTTGTTTCCTATCAAAAATCGATCATTTTCTTTGGTGTTTATTCATTGTTCGTATTCGACCTGATTGATTGTGGTCGTAAAAAATCAACTACCAACAGTAAAAATAAAGATCAAAATATTGAAGATAAATGTTTGGATGATGTAAAAGAAAAATTTGATATAAATGTTGCAAAATTAATGAGTTTAGGTAGGAATGGTCGTCGTTGGCCTGAAACTGAATCTGAACATGATTCATATTGTGCGTAAGTTTTCGCTTAAATTTTGCTTTGAAGCCAATTTTTTGATTTTTGATTTAACCGTTTCAAAGTGAAACAAAACGCCTGAATCAACATTTAGATGATTATAAAACAACATGTTCATCAGGGCCATCAAAAGAATTTGCATCGATCATACTGTTTTCATTACGTCGTGTAACCCGGCAATATTGTCGAAAAACCCATACAAATCAACGTAGACATAAAAAATTATTTGCAATGTATAAATGTTCAAATCAATTATCAAATCAAACTGGTAAATGTTTGGAAGATTATATCGATACATTATTATCAACAGTAAAACTATCGACTATTCAACAAAAAATTCCATATACATGTTGGTAAGTTACATTTTCATATTAACTTTTGTGTTACGGTTGCATAATTTTTTGTAATTTTTTTCCCCCGTGTTTTTTTTCTCCTTGTAATTTTGATGACTACGATGGAAAAACTACCCTTGGTACTTTCAAGTAATTATTTTGAATTATTAAAATGTACGGATGATGTATTTCATTCTGATCAAAAATGTGCTGATTCATCTGAAACATTTCAAGAATTTGTACGAACCATTTTTGATGATATAATTAATGTTGCCTGTGGTGATTATTTAGAATTTAGTGATAAATGTCAACAATTACCATTATTAACCAAACCATCATTATTAAAGAATAAAAAAAGACCAAAATCAATATTAATACCATTGATTGAAATTTGGGATCAATCGGCAAATTGAAATACATTTTCTGGTTTTTCTGGTTTTCTGGTCTTTCGGGTTTGACAATGGCTTCGTGGTTCTTCTGATGGTCATCATCATTATTATTAATATTTCACTGACGTCATCATCATCCGCATCATCAATTTATATAGTGGCAGATGAAAAAATTTCTATTTCTACACAACCATCATCATCATCATCAAAATAATGTTGGATGAAAATAGACAAATGTAAATCATTTTGGAAAATTTGGCAATGATTGTTGTTGGTGACGATGTCAAATGTCAAAAAGATTTTTGAACTTTTGCTGAACAATTTCCTGTTTGTTAATGAAAAAAAATGAAAATGAAAAATGTAAAAAATGTTTATCAAACTTTTCTGGAAATTTCTCTCTCTCTTTTTTCCCTCTTCTTCGATGGATTCATTAGAAAAAAAAGCTATTTAGTAAATAAAAAAATAAACGAAAAAAATAAAAAGCTGAAGTTTTTACATTGAAATTTTTATTTTCAAGTGTTATGTTATCAATTTGTTGTTGTGTGTTTGACCAAAGATTAATAGTAAATGCAGCAGGAGGATAAATTATATTTGTAATTTTGTTGTTGAAATGTTTACAAAAATGTCTATATGTGTGTGTGTGTGTGTGTGTGTGTGGACATCCACAATCATATATCATATGACAAATAATGGATAATTTGGAAATTTTCCAGAAAAACAAAAAAAAAATTTCCAACAATTCTTTTTGATCTGGCCAATCATTGATGATGATTGAGATTAAAAAAAAATGGACAAATGAAAATGAAAAAAACATCCCGTTTTCATAATGTATATAAAAATAACGAAAATCAAACAAATTTTTTTTTCAATTTGTAAATTTTCGATCGATTTCGATTTCGGATTCATTGATTTTCAATTTTGTTTGTTTTGTTTGTTTGTTTTCTTGGTTGCAAAATTAAATAGAAATTTTTTTTTGTTCAAATTTTTTATTGTTTTCTGGTTTTTTGGTTTTCTGGATTTTTGGATTCTTGATTCTGGATTTTTGGATTCTGGTTTCTTCTCTGACTAACCAAGAATTGAAGAAGAAAAAAAATGAAACATTTTCCCATCATACTGCTATCTTTATCGACAAATTATTTATCAATAATAATCAATATCGATTGTTTAGCTGTTAATTCTCGATCATCGCCAACGCGATCATCAACATCATTAACTGCAAAATGTCCGCAATCGATACTTGATTCATATGATCAAGATATGGCACGTTTAATGACTATTGGACAACGTATTTGGCCGGAAAGTTTTCAGGAAAGTAAAACATTTTGTGTGTAAGTATTTTATGGATATTTTTTTTCAAAAATGAAATTCACTTAACCCCCATTAATGATTTAACCCCCTTAATGATCTTTTTCTTTACAGGGAAAGTCGTCATTTATTTGATAAAATAACCAACTATAAAAATCGTTGTTCAACCGGAACAGCCAAACAATTTACATCGGTTATTATCTATTCAATACAACGTGCACATAAAACATATTGCCCGAATAAAGCAACGAAAAAAGCAATGAATTTTTTTCGTTTACAATCATGTACAAATCGTGTTACAAATCAAACCGCTAGATGTTTAAATCATTATAATGAACAATTACAGGCAATCAAACGGGCGCCAGTGCCGAAACAAATTCCACATGTTTGTTGGTAAGGAATCTTTCTGAGAAACTTTCCCGGAAAAAAATCATTAATTTTTATCGTTTTTTGTTTTTCACACCATTCCATTGTATCGATCTTTATCGATAATCGATTGTATCGATTCTTTTTTGATTTTCAAAAGTCAATATTTTGAAATGTTAAAATGTTTTGAAAAAGAATATGAAAAATTACCAAATTGCAGTGATTCGGCTGAAATATTTTTAAATTTCGTACGACAAATTTTCGATGATATTGTTAATCTATCATGTCAAGATTATACTGAATCAAGTGATCGTTGTGATCATCTTGGACAACCACCATCCATACCAATGATTAAAGATAAAAATTGGAAACATTTTAAATCATTTATATTACCATTAGTGGATATTTGGAATAATATTGATGGTTAAATTTCAACCGAAAGCAGAACTTATTTTTTAGCAAAGAAACCAAATGGTTAAATTTCAATATGTCAAATATGTCAAATGTCAACCCTTCCATTTCCGTTTACTTTAATTGATGATAAATTTTCCGTAAAATAAATAATGATAATAAAAGGGTTTATCATAAATTTTCTTTCCGAAAAACTTTCTGTACTGAAATTGTAACAAAAATTGAAAAAAAAACCAAAAAAAGTCAAAATCAAAGTGTTTTGATGAATGATTTTTGGATGGAAATTTTTGTTTTATTTTAAAAAATGAAACCTTATTCATTATCAAAACTAACATTCGACGATAAGTACATCCATCACCCTTTTCTTTTTTATAAATGGCTCGATGTCAAGCCAAAAGTCACATCTGACGAAAGACTGACAAACAGCAAGAACCAAGAATGACAAATGTGATTTTTTTTCGGGAAAATTCTGTACATTTTTTTTTTTTTTTTTTTGATTCTTCAACGTCAAACCAGAAATCATAAATTGAATAATGGAAATTCCGTTACATCTTTGTGGCTGGAAGGGGGGGTTTAAAAAAAACCAAAGTACTGTTTTTTGGATTTTTCGGTTACCAAAAAAACAACAACAACAACAAGGAGGGAGAAAAACGGTAACATTCTGCCTTCCCTTTGCTTTAATCGTTAGTTAGATTAATTTTGTTGTTGTTGTTGTTGAACAAGAATTTGTTGTTGTTGTTGTCAACGATCATAATTCATTTTTTTGTGAGTAACATAAGGCTCGTTTATCGTTCGTTTCGAGATTCTGCAAAATGGTTTTTTTTTTTTTTTTTTTTGGTGAAACACATGGTGGATTTTATTGGCGTTATAATATTTGACATTTTTGGTGATGGAATGAATAAATGAATTGGGTTGAAAAAAAACAGAAGAAGAAGAAGAATATTCCTGGCTGGATATATTCGATTGAATTAGAGAATTTAAAGTTTTTTTTCTTTCTCTCTCTGTCGTAACAAATGTTCAACTTTGACAAATTCTCTCTCTCTCTCTCTCTCTCTCTCTCTCTC